AAAATTTTAAACATGCTCAAAATTGTTCGACGACCTCGCCGTACTACGACGTATACCAGCGTGCTTCAGCGTGCTCTTAACTTATACAAAGCTTACCCATAACTTATTCGACGTACGCCAGCGTATTCACCAAATTTTTGATACGTCCGGCATACGCTGGCTAAATCGTCAATGTGTGACAGGGCCATCATACAAAGCTTACCCATAACTTATTCGACGTACGCCAGCGTATTCACCAAATTTTTGATACGTCCGGCATACGCTGGCTAAATCGTCAATGTGTGACAGGGCCAATACATATACATAATATCAGGAGCGTATAATGACAAATTGTCATTATACGCTCCTGATAATATATACCTCAACCTGCGGCATCGACTGGTATCTGTGTGCTGCTGAAATTGATATCTCTGCCTTGTCACCCTCTGGATCATCGGGAATTTCTTCCGTACATAGCTTAAGGAATACGGCCTCTAATGTCTAGAAATAATGTCGATATTTAACTTTATAATGGCATTCCTTTTCATAAACGTTCATACACACACTATCGTAAACGTTCGTATATCATTTATTGATTGCCACATCAAAATAGCCCAAAAACAAATTAACATAAACAAGCCTTGCTAATTGAAGAATATAGTTTGAAAAATGTAAACAAACTGCTATGTGCGCGTTCGTTCAACATTTACTTGAGCGTGTGAGAATGGCCCACAAACAGCACAACCCGGTTTCAGATTATTGTTCGCTTGCTAATTTATAGCTTCCAATTACTTCGTTCAATAACGAAATAATTTATTTTTGAAAAATCACATAGTTAAGTAGCATTTAGGAAATAATCTCTTAATCAAATTAACTTGTTAATAGATATTGACACAATGAATCGACTTTCAGCTTATTTACGTACTATTTTGCATGCCCTAACAATGCACAAATATATATTCAGAGAAGTCGCGTAACTCTGGGGTTACTGTAAATGATACTCGCACCAGAGCATGACACGCTCTTAGGATGTCCACAATCCAATGCAATTGGATCATACTTTTGTAATCAGTATATCAGATCAAAATAATTTTCTGCAAAAAATGCTTGCAAAGAACACTACTTTGATTAGAAACATTAATGAATATAGGGGGAATGCTGCTCTAAATAAAATGTCATGAAAAAGGTGGGTATAATTACAAACTAGCATCTGTGAAAGTACTTCATGTAATTGCCACACGATCCTATATAATAACTAGACAAAGGGCACTCACGGAGAGTGCATACCTCCGCCAGCATGTAACATGTATGTGTATAACAGCTGGCTCGCTGCTGGCTGCTGCTGACTGGATGCCCTAAGGCGAGCTGCTGCTGACTCGACGCCCTAAGGCGAGCTGCTGCTGAATCGAACGCGCGAACACTAGTGGCTACACACACACACGAACACACACACGAGACCGATTACATTACCTCCTTGGCGGAGGTAAACACACACACGAGACCGATTACATTACCTCCTTGGCGGAGGTAATTATATGATACATTGTATCATATAATATGCGTGATCAGAAGTATTTTTCACTACAAACCTAATGTAGTGAGATCTTCCCCACTGTTAACGGTTAACCAGCAGATTTTCTCAGCTCTGATGCAACATGCACTACATTTACACTTACCTCACTCTGATGAACCATGAGCAGATCAGCTGGAGGGGATTCAGCCAGTAGAATTCCATGTCGCATTAACCCAACCTGTAATCAGGGTTTCTTATACATAAGAGGCACGGTGGCGCACCACCGTTGTCAAATTTAACATCGTCGTTGTGAAAATGTTCCTGTATTTACCTGCTGTTGTCAAAACAGTGTCAACCCAAAAATAAATAGATCACCACGTGCCTCTGGCATATTTAGATTGCCATGTGCGTTTATTGGGTCATGTGACACGGGGTCTACACTTTTCCTACGACCTTGAATCAATCATGTGCGTTTTTTCCCCAAACAGGCCATTACCTCCTTTGTCTAAGTTTCCTCAGAAGAAACTTTGGTAATGTAGTTTTTTTCTGGGTACATCCTTAATTGCTAATACTAATACATGAGCTGTTAGATAGAGTTGAAGAACAGATAAGTGATTGTACTATGGTTATATTGTGTATTGCTTAGCTTCCTCTTTCTTCTCTTTTGCTACATACAGCATATGAAATTCCTGCCAAAAATTCTCCAACTTCCAACCACTCTTGTGACGAAACATTCGTGCTGCTAAACAATTCTTGGTGCTAAACAGTCGGCGGTAACTCCTTTGAGCACCCACCGTTCGTCACTTACCATATCTGCAGCTCTGGCTTCCTCTATGTAATGAGTCGTGAGGATGATGGTTGTCTCACCGGTCTGCACTATCTCTATCAGATGCTGCCAGATGCTGCCGCCAGAACGGGAAGACTTCATTAAATCCCATATGTTTCAACATATCATATATCATTCTGTACTTGCATATAATACATACTATATATATAGCTATATACATATATATATATATATATATAGTATATTCACTGACATGTCTATGTATCCAACTCATACTCAAATTCTACCAAATACTTCCATCACACTATTCATTATAATATCACAATCCCACAAGCGCCATGCACACACAGCATCACACACACGTACCATAATGGACAACGCCTCGACAGGATTGGGTCCGATTAGACTGAGCACTGACAACAACAGGTAAACCTGAAACCTGAACAAGTACATCTTGGTAGTTGCACGTCGGGACTGTCTCGCTTGTTATATTGGCTCCAGGCCGGTGAATGTGAAGCATTCAGCAGTTTACGTGTCATAAGCCCTACCTGCTGCGTAAGAGAGGATCAACTCCAACAGTTGGCTCGTCAAGGATCAGCAATGGCGGTTCGTGAAGCAAAGCCACACAGAAGGACACCCTACGCTTCTGACCACCACTGCAACACATTTTCCAACAACGTTACAATGGCCAAACATCACGTCGTGGTAAGTAATGTCAACGAACTGCAGACTATAACGAATTTTGCACAGGGGAGAGATAGTGATCCACTACTAGGGGACGGCTCTGATTGGCTAATTTTGTCTCTTATTTATTGTATTTTTTATTATTTTTGGCTAATTTTATTTTATTTTAGAATTAGGGATAGGGTTAGGGTTAGGGTTAGGGTTAAGGTTAGGGTTAGGGTTAGGGTTAACTGATTTCTATATCCACAACTTATTTCTATATTCACTATCTCTCCCCTGTGACCTACTAGACTATAACCGCCTCAATACAAGAAATCACATGCTTTTTGTCCAAGATAGTGACTAGCACTTTTGGTAGCAGTTTCATGGTCATGTCTACTGGATATTTAATCTTTTGATTACTTTGCAGATGTCTACTTTTTTCTGTTCACACGAGCAGAATATGATTCCGCTACCTTCTGCTCACCTTAGAGTTTTCACCATCCTATTATCTCCAGGCAGATGCAAAAAGTTGACTAGAAAGTCTGTTCTTTTCGCAACAAGCTCCATGGACATGTCGTTTAACCGACCAAAGTACCGCAGTGTCTCTTTGATGGTAAATTCATTGTAGAGAGCAACCTCCTGCAAAAATTACTCAATCAAATGAGAGGAGACGAAGATGCCCATAGGAGCTTGGAATTTCAGTGTAACAAGAGATGCATTTCCTCTTGGTTTCCAATAATGGTACTCTATTTCACTACTATTCGTGACATGCGATTACAGCAAATTACCTGCGGCATATATCCGACCATCCGACCAGGTACACCATGACCTGCACTCAATGGTGGCTTGCCTAAGGTAGTAATGACTCCACCATCAAAAGGTAGTCTTCCTAATAGACACCGCAGCAAAGTAGTTTTGCCACAGCCGCTAGGTCCTAGCAATCCATAGCTAAGAAATAAATGTGAAAATCATGTTAAAGCAATTATATACATGATAGCACATGCACCCTCACGTTTAAGTGTCTGTGGACCAGCAGGAGAGATTCACAACTTAACTGATCACTACGTTACGCCAGAACATGCTATCATTGCAATTCTCACATTCATATTAGCATGTTAATCAATTTGCCCATTCCATATTTCTGATGCCATGCGATCTATATACTCATTACCCCCACTGCATAACCTCCTAAAGCCAAAGGTGCCTTCAGTTTAGCATTTCTAATTAACTTCAACTGAATTTATCAAATATCCATAGTTAGAGAGACGTATATAACTATAAGACATTATGGTTTTGTAACATATGTTTTGCACATGTTATATTACATTAGTAAGTGTAGATAGCATTAGTTGTAAATAGGAGTAGGGTTGGGCGTTTGACATATAGGGTATGAACGATAGGTCGCGCAGGGGGTACATGTGGTTTACACATGTAGTTTTGGTGCGTAATAAGACGAACAAAGGAATGAGCGGAGTACGTGATTTGGTTGTGTAGTGGAACTTGTTGGTGATTAGACGAGAGAGTAATATATATAGCAACAGGGCGATTTGAACGAGGGTTGCAACGGCGAGACGAGACGGACGAGACAAACGGGTATAGACATAGTGACTGTTTGGATTGTAAACAATATATTTCTTCAGTTGGACACAAATGCTACACTTCTTCTTGATTCTTTTACTCTAAATTGTTGCTGAGAGGGTCTATGTCCCCCGGGGTACCGCCGGAACGTACCCTGGGTACGGTCCGGTATACCAGAACGTACCCTGGTACTATATTATATGCCGGACCGTACCTAGCCTACTCCACTAACGAGTATAGGGAGTCGCCTACGCCTACTCCCTAACCCTAACCCTAAACCTAACCCTAACCCTAACCCTAATCCTAACCCTAACCATATCAAATAGTGACCAGGGTACGTTCTGGTATACCGGACCGTACCCAGGGTACGTTCCGGCAGTACCCTGGGGGACATAGACCCTATGAGCTAAATTATTACATAGAAACGGGTCATTACATTTGGTGCTCGTGACAACGGACTGGGTTTTGCAAAACAACGTACATCTTCTCTGTATGTAGAAAAATGGCTTGCCTATGTAACACCTAACATTACACACAAATAGATCCCCCAATTACACGACCATGTCTTATAAATTGTATTATCAACTCTGCATATAAAAAACATGCAGAATGTAACAAAATTACACGTTTTTTGGTTTAATAATTTGGTGTTTCATAGCTGCATTGTGATGCAACATGAATAATTTAGAAATGCAATATTTTGTAAAAATGCACTAGCTATATCGTTACATATATATAGTCTTTCATTTGCATTTTTTTAAATTCATGATGCCAACCTTTTTCATTCATGATCATATATAATGCTACAATGCTTTTAGACATTTTCACCAATTTTGAATCTGGCGCAATATAAGACTTACATGTTACCCCTTGTCACAGTCAGATTGATGCCTATCAGCACTTCCAACTTGTTCTTTCCTGAGCCATAGCTCTTGAAGACACTGTGCACACCTACTGCTTCCTGGAGATCCATTTCTTATTTTGCTTTACCTACAAAAATTCAAAACACGCATTGGCCAACCTCACACATGCATGATCCGTTAACCTTTGCTCGCAAAATTATGCTCACGAGCTTGCCATGCATGATGGCTACTTGCACTGTCACACATTTACCAACATTCTCACAGATTAGACTATGAACACCAGGAACAGGGCTTTACTCACTCGAGAGCACCACTCATAATAAGAGCCCTACTTATATGAAAGATACTGCCAATACTGTTACTGTCAGTCAGACATTAATAAATAAGGAAATACACAAGTGCTCTCAAGTTTGTAATAAATTATTACTTTACGACGTCGAACAAACGTAAGTCTGTTATCACGAGTCCATATCTTCACACTTCGGTGCATGTGCACTCTTATGTGTGTATATCAATATATCAATCAGTGTGTGTGTCCATGTGCATGTGCGTATGCGTGTGTTTGACTGATGATTGAATTGACATAATGATATACTGTCTCAACATTCTTTTATAAGTCTGAACGTGAGATCATACTTATGTGATAACATAACTACAGGAGTGAAGGAATGAGAAATTGAATGAAGTCTGAATTAAATTGAATTGAGTTGAACTAATGTATGAATCTCTCAACATATACTAGGTAAATAACACCTAAAATAATACTATCTCGCCATCTCTTGACCTCGTTCGTAGGTGTCATACGGAGTTGTGGATAATATTCGGAACTAATCACAGACCTTGGAGTGACACTCACACATGTAAACATTGTTTGTTTATATAATGGGAAATGGTGACTGAAGTCACTGAGAGGCATCTCCGCAGAATAGAGATTGTTGGTTTCAATTTGTACCAGACCACTGAAGATCTATGACAGCTAGACCATCAGGTGCTCGATTACCAAATTCCAACCCGTATTACGATCATTTTAATCAAATGATATACGCTACCTCAGTTCGAAGATGTCAGTGTTACTATTGAAAGAAAAATAGTAATGGGAGTGATAGTTTATATCAATTTAATACAAATTTATTAACAAATTGTAGACTGATAACATGACATTAGTCTAAAAGGGCTCCCCTTTATGAACACATAAAAATTATTATGAAAGCAATATTGGTGTGTACGCGTGTGCGTGTGTGTGTGTGCACAATCTATTATCCGAAATTCTGAAAACTGAAAAACTCCGAAAGTTTTTTCATGGAGGTTATTTGCACATCAAAACTCGTGTTTGGCTGCACAAGGTAATTCACTGCAGACATATTAATGTGTTTTGCATTACTCATACGTATTGTACTGTGCCGGTACAGCACTTGGCCGCTTGAAAACTTGGGTTTTACGTTTTAGTACTGACTAGTTGCAGGATATACGGAATGTACCATTCAGAAATCGTAAAAATTACAAATTCCGAAACGTGTCTGGTCCCAAGGGTTTCGGATAATAGATTGTATCATTGTATACTAGCTGTATAACATATACTGACATAGCCTCCTTGGCTCCTTCTCCCCTTCCTCGTTCTCCACCAACTTCTCCCCCTCCTCCTTCTCCACCAGCTTCTCCCCTCCTCCTTCGATCTCCACCACCTTCTCCCTTCTCCCCTTCCTCATTCTCCACCAGCTTCTCCCCCTCCTCCTTCTCCACCAGCTTTCTCCCCTCCCCTTCTCCCACCAGCTTCTCCACTTCTCCTCTTTCGCTCCTTCTCGCACCAGCTTCCTCCACCTTTTCGCCCTTCTCATTCTCACACCACTTCTCCATCAGGCTTCTCCCCTCCCTCCTTCTCCACAGCTTCTCCCTTCTCCTTCCTCATTCTCCCCACGCTAAGTTTCTCCCCTCCTCTTCTTCACCTAAGCTTCTCCCTTCTCCCCCTCTCCTCCACCAGGCTCCCTTCTCCTCCCTCTTCTCCCCCTCCTTCTCCACCCAGCTTCTCTCCTCCTACATTCTCCACCACCCGTTCTCCTTCCTACCTTCCTCCTTCTCCACCAGCTCTCCTTTCTCCCCCTTCCTCCTTCTCCACCAGCTTCTTCCCTGCTCTCCTTCTCCACCAGCTTTCTCCTTCTGCCCCTCCTCCCCCACGCAGCTCTCTTCTCCCTTCCTCCTACTCCACAGCTTCTCCCCTTCCTCCTTCTCCCCCACCAGCTTCTTCCTTCTCCCTTCCTCTTCTCCACAGCTTCTCCTTCTCCCTTCCTCCATTCTCGCACGGCAGTGCTTTCTCCCCCTCCTCCTTCTCCTCACAGCTTCTCCCTCCTCCTTTCCACCACCTTTCTCCCTTCTCCCCTTTCCTCATTCTTTCCACCAGCTTCTCCCGCACTCCTCCTTCTCCACGTCAGCTATCTCTCCCTTCCCTCCTTGCTCCCCAGCTTCTCCCGCCCTCCTCCTTCTCTCACCAGCATTCTCCCTTCTCCCTCTTCGCTCCTTCTCCCCAGCTTCTGCCCTTCTCCCTTCTCATACTCTCCACCTGCTTCTTCCCCCTCCTCTTCTCCACCAGTCTTCTCACCGCTCCTCCTTCCTCCACCACCTTCTCCCGTTCTCCCCCCTTCCTCATTCTCGCACACCAGCTTCTCGCCAGCCGCCTCCCTTTCCTCACACCAGCTTCTCTCCCCCCTCTCCTTTTCCACAGATTCTTCTTCCATCCTCGCTTCCACCACTCTCCCTTTCCGCTTCTCCTTTTCCCACCACTTCTTCCACTCCTCACTTCTCTCACCAGCTTCTCCCTTTTCTCCCCTTCCTTCCTCATTCTCGCCACTCAGGCTTCTCCCCCGCCCTCCTTCTCCACCAGCTGTCTCCCCTCCCCTTCTGCCACCACCTTCTCCCTTCTCCCTTCCTCATTATCAGCTAGCTTGCTCCCCTCCTCCTTCTCCCACCAGCTTCTCCACCCCTCTCCTTCTCCACCAGCTTCTCCCCTCCTCCTTCTCCACCAGCTTTCTCCCCTTCTCCCCTTCTCGCTTCTCCCCCAGCTTCTCTCGCTCCTCCTTCTCCCCTTCCTGCCTTCTCCACCAGCTTTCTCCCTCCTCCCTTTTCTCCACCGAGCTTCTCCTTTCTCGCCTTCCATCCTTCTCCACCCGCTTCTTTCCCCTCCTCCTTCTTCCACCCGCTTCTCCTTTCTCCCTTCCCTCCTTCTCCGCCAGTTCTCCCCCTGCCTCCTTCCTCCACCAGCTTCTCCCCTTCTCCCCCTCCATCCTTCTCCACCACTTTCCCCCTCCCCTTCTCCACCAGCTTCTCCTTCTCCCCCTCCTCCACAAGCTCCCTTCTGCCACTCCTTCTCCCCTCTTTCCATCCTTCTCCGCCCAGCTTCTCCCCCTCTCCTTTCCACAGCTTCTCCCCTCCTCCTTCCTACACCTTCTCGCTTCTCCCTTCCTCCTTACTGCCAGCCAGCTTCTCCCCCTCCTCCTTCTCACCAGCTTCTCCTTCTCCCCTTCCTCCTTCTCCACCCAGCTTCTTGCCCGCCTCCTCCTTCTCCCCAGCCCAGCTTCGTCCTTCCCCTCCTCCTTTCTCCACCGCTTCTTCCTTCTCCCCCTCCTCCTCCCCCAGGCTTCCTTCTCCCCCCTCCTTTCTCCACGCAGCTTCTCCCCTCCTCCTTCTCCAGCCAGCTTTCCTCCCCTCCTCCTTCTCCAAGCCAGCTTCTCCCCTCCTACCTTCTCCACAACTTCTCCTTTCTCCCCCTCTCCTCCACAGCTCCTTCTCCCTCCCTTCTTCCGCCTCCTCTCCACCACAGCGTTTCTCCTTCTCCCCTCCTCCTTCTCCCAGACGCGGCCATGCTTCTCCTTTCTCCCCTTCCTCTCTTCTCCACGACTCCAGCTTCTCCCCCTCCTCTTCTCACACGCAGCTTCTCCCTTCTCCCCCCTCCTCTCTTCCTGGCCACCAACTTTTCCCCTCCCTTCTCCACCAGTTCTCCTTCTCCAGCCCTTCTCGCTTCTCCCCACTTCTCCCCCCTCCTTCTCCAGCCAGCTTCTCCTTCTCCCCTCCTCCTTCTCCACCTGCTTCTCACCCCTCCTCCTTCCTCCACCAGGCTCTCTTCTCACCCTCCTCCCTCCACCAGCTTCCTGGTCCTCCCTTCTCCCCCTCCTTTCTCCATGAGCTTCTCTCCCCCTCCTCCTTCTCGCACCAGCTTCTCCATTTCCCCTCGCTCCTCCACACAGATCCCTTCTCCCCTCCTCCCCTTCGCTCCTTCTCTACCAGCTTCTCCCCTCCTGCCTTTCACACCAGCTTCTCCCTTCTCCACTTCCTCATTCTCCTCCACCAAGCTTCTACCGCCTCCTCCCTTCTCCACCAGCTTCGTCTCATCCCCTCCTCCTTCTCCACCAACCTTTCCCTTCTCCCTCCCTTCTCTCCACCAGCTTCTCCCTTCTCCCCCAGCCTTCTCCCTTCTCCCCTTCCTCCTTCTCCCCCAGCTTCTCGCCTTCTGCCCTTCTCATTCTCTCCAGCTTCTCCTCCTCCTTCTCCACCAGCTTCTCACTCCTCCTTCTCCACCAGCTTCTCCCCTTCCGTCATTCTGTCACCTAGCTTTTCTCCTACTCCACCGCTACTGAGTACTATCTACCTTCCTCCTCACGCTCCCCCTCCCTTCCCTCACCTACACTGCTCCTTCGCTACCCTGTACCAGAACTACGAGATGGCTGTTCCACTGATACGCCTTAGTCTGCTGGCCTTATGTACCTAAAAGCAAATTTCGGGTTAGATTCTTGCACACCATGTTTCAACACCCTAGAAACATTCAGCTGATTAAGAACAAAAAGGGGTGCAGCTTTTTTCCATTAACATTTCAGGGCCGCCATTTTGAATTCAAAACCTGGCCGCCGTTTTTTAAAGCGATTTGTTATGATTTTTTGGTAATTACAACATTAATTTTAGAACGTATAATCAAACATGTTGTTCATAGCGTTTGAGTACCAAATGGCATTATAGTTGAGACACGCGGTTTTCATACTGAACTCTGTATTGCATGGATAGAAAACAGGTTTTCCGGACGTGTATTATAAAAAAATATCTATCAATCCTTAACGCACGCATTTTAAATTTTAACGAC